ACAACCTTTTTCCTATAGTAGGTAATTTTCTTTAAATCTCAGTTTAAAAGTTTCAATAATTATGCATCTAAAAATTCAAATTTATGTGTACAACAAATTTATATGATTTATAAACAAATTCTAAATCTAGTCTGGATTTATGACATATAGCTACGAGGATGTGCCAGCAAAAGTAATATTAACATGATATAAGTTTTACAAAATAAAGTCCTAAGATGCATCGAATATGCACCCTGGTTCTATCAAAACGAAGATGCCGACAGGCAAAGGAGAAATAAAGAGGTTACTGCAAAACATGAGAGTCGACTCCACTCCCACGTCAATGAAGAAGTGCTGCAGTTACTGGACAACTCTGCACTCTACAGAAGACTCTAAAGAATGAAAAGCCATTTGAGCTAGAGCAGTGAACGTTAGTGCTAGTGTAAAACAGTATAATCAATCGTTTCGCCAAATATTGGTGATGTTTTTTAATCAACGACAAACAAATACTAGACTAATATTTTTTTTAAAAATTGAATTGCAAACAATCGCGGATTTATCCACTGAGTTGTTAAATTATTATAAGAGAGTATGGCGAAAGTCTTACTGCAAGGATTGTTTATAGTATTATTGACATATTATAAGGATCTAAAACACATAAAAGGCTTTCAAAATTACAATTGGGAAGTATATTTCTATTCTTAATGCCAGTTATTATCAGTTTAAGAATCACTCTTAAAGAGTTGATGTTATCTAAAAAACTCATGAATTAAGCACTACGAGTATTCGATCTGGTTCCTCAAGTAAAAACCTTTTTTAATTTAGCAATCAGTACAACTTACTTCAAAATAAATTATTGGGAAGCCTTAATTTTCTAAAGGTTTGTTCCAACACAATAGCAAATCGGTTTACATACTGTCCGGATTCTGCGCAGTCTAGAATTTGTGTTCCAACAAACTTCGGACTCAAAACTGTACAAAAACCTAGTGTTCCACAGCACACCCAAACCTAATCACAAATTAGTTTCTGTACTGTCAAATCAGTTTATGGATTTAAATAAGAACGAAATATCAAACATGCGCAAAACGAAAGTGAGCTCGCAAATAAACCATCATCAGCTCTGGAAATTTCGTGATTATATTTGTTTTGATATTATTGATCGTAGTCTCCATCCAACGATTATATACTATTATTGATCGTAATTTGGTTTGACAACAAAAAAATGTGTTCCAACAGATCCAAGTTCCGAATAAAGTCCCATCCTTGACAGGTCGTGGACAGGTCGCCAACTATCAGTCGTCGACAATAAGTTGTGGACTGGTTTATGTACGGTTCCAAGATTGTTGTTGAAACAAACCTTAATAATATCACTAACCTTCAATTCAGAGAAGAAATAGTGGATGTTGCTAAATAAGTTTGTTATTTAAATCCTTTTCTTAGTGTATTATCCGAATTTATACGAAGCTTGTTCATTTTTACCAGTGTAACAACTGGCAAGAACGTCAACTGTCAATTTTGACCACCCCGGCATCAAAGTGCCGAAGCAAGTCTTCGCTTCTGTAATAGGTAGGTTATTCTGTGGTATAGGTTTGCCGTCTATACTGCACATGTGCACCACTAGCCCGTCAGGCGCAAAAACCAATTTTGGTAAACTGTATGAAAAAACAAGGAAAATTATTCGTAGGTATCAGCCTTCTAGGTGTTCTGTGGAGAAAGCAAAACTGGATTTAGATCCAATAGCAAAAACTTCATGTTCACCATCCTGTGTTTTCGAAACAATTGGTAATAGGGATGACATTAAATGGTAACATTTGATTAGGAGATTTATATCTATAACATATCTGAATTTCAAAAAAATCTCACGGAAAGCCATTTCTCATAAAATTAGGGCGAGATTTTCTTTTTAGTTTGAATTAAACAAATTTTTGGTTAAATGATAAATATTACTTTTTAACTTTATTATTTTATATGAACCCCTATATATGATTTTTGTTACAAGAGATTTGTTTTTCCAATCAAATTTTGTTTGATTAAAGAAAATCTTTTTTTAAAGTGAGTAAATTTAAACGTTAAAAATGTAGAATTAAATGAAATAAATACTTAAATTCTCAACATATTTATTCAAAATTAGTAACATATAACAAAAATAATACTATAACAAAAATAAAATATATTCTACACTAAAAGTGTTAACACAACAATCATACATATTTATAAGGTTTCAGTCAAAATGTAACAATGTTTAAAATGCTACATTTAAACCTTAAAAATACAAAACAAAAACGATGGTAATACTTGTACTTCAAAATGGTTTTAAAAATTATATACATTTTTTAACTACATGCATTTGGATTTTTTTCAATGAAAAATG